TATGTCGGCCATGACCTATGAAGGATCGTCGTTACTACGGCTGGATGTGAAACAGTTCAAGACAAAGTGACAGAGATGGGTATTCTATATTTTGCCTTTCTGTTTCATCTGTCAATGAGAAGAACTTATTAATAATTGATAATACCTTACAATGACAATCATCCATTAGCTATAACATAGGAAAGTTGTGTAGACAAGATGATCTTCTAGTGTCTTATTATCAGTGCCAAACGAATTGCAGCATTAGAATTCCTAGTAAAGGAAATCCAACATGAATATCAATTCAACCCACATGGAATATTCAGATACAGGCAACCTCTTAAATATATACGATACTTGTAATGCAAGCAGATGTGAATGAAAGGCAAGTAAACAAACTCTGAGTAGAGTGATTAAGGACTGAAAAGTGGAGTCTAGCAGATCTCAAGTCAAATTTCTATCATGTAGATAATACATGAGCTTAGACAGAGTTCTTAGTAGCTGTATGTTTATCCAACCATGAACTTAGAGAATATCTACCTCATCGACATTGACAAATGAAGTGATGTATGTAATGCATAGCTCAATGTGTATAGTGCCTGGGTTACTATGTTGTTGTTATGTAACACCGAGTTGAAACTGACCCATAACTGACCCTCCAATGGGTTTTCAGAGCCAGTAATCACACAGGAGGAGATTGTCATCCAAGTACTTGGTGTATTCAAATTGCTACTTTTGGCCTAGTACTAAGAAGCTGTGTTGCAATCTCAAAGGCTGTGATTCTAATCCACCAGTAGCTCTGTGGGAGAAAGATGCACTGTCTCCTCCTGAGCTATTTACTGCTTCTGAAAACTTGCTGGAGGGGCAGCAGTAGGTTGGTTTTGACTTGACAGCATACAACAGACAAGCTGCCAGAGCTCTGTAGGGTATTCTAAGTGTTAATAAATAGTATCTGTTATTGTGTGGAAGCTCCTTAGAGCTTGGGTTGGCTCTGCCAACCCAAATGCTGAATCTCTCTGGCAGTTGGAACACAAAAGTGACTTCTCAGGCAAAAGATGGACAATCACTTCTTAGACTATTAGCATCCTCAGGAGGGTTTACTATGTGTTACTTTCAACTTGACAGAGTGAGTTTCAGGTTTTGTTGTTTTAATCTTATATTAACATTATTGTTATTATCGTCTTGCTTTCAAGCTTCAAAGTGAATTCTCAGCTATTATTAAGATTAACATTTTCAAAGGTGTATATTGTATATAATATTTTTCTATAAATTTTCATTCATTATGCAAATGATAATAAGGTCACCAAGAGTTTGAATTAACTCAATGGCAACTTGAACAGTGTGAATGGTAACCTTAGGGCTCAGAGTGGAACTGTGATTATTTTTCACCAGAAGATGATGAGGTTTTGCTTTCACCCAGCCTTGGTGAAAAAAAAAAAACACCTGGTCATCTCTCACCAAGGCTGGATGAAAAAACACCCGGTCATCTTTCACCAAGGCTGGATGAAAAAAAGACCTGGTCATCTGCTTGTGAAAAGCCAAGCTGTAATTTTCCGTTAGTCATGGAGCTGGTGGATGGTATGTACTATCCAGATGGTTATTAATTGGAAAAGACCCCAAGAAAATTTTTTGCTCAAAAATCAGTTTGCTATGAATGTGACATTGGTAAGACTATTGTAAATTGTCTCCTTGCCTTAACAATAACAAACAGTAAATGTTTCTTCATGGTATTTACAATATCACATCAAAGTTCAACCCTCCCACCCTCCAGGACTCTTTGTCAAAGATCAAAAGAAACAAATATCCAAATTAAGCTACTGTGTCCAATGTGTCCCATTCCTAGAGTCCTTAAAAGGTACCAAAGTTTTACCCCCTAGTTGGTATACTTCTAGTATTCTAAGAGAACTTAGCTGGAGTCCAGTAGTTTTGTCATCATACATCGCCATCACCTGCTCAACTGTCCACTGAACCATCTTGGCTTTGTAGTTGGGATCAGTTTAAAGGACATATAATCTGTATAGTCCCTTGGAAGAACCCTGAAAATTATGTCGGTGTACCTTGGTAAAATGAATATATGATTTAAGCATGAAATTAGATCTCAGCTCTAAAACTCATTGCTATTGAGTTAGAACCAACTCATAGATGATGCCCCCTTACATTTTTTAGAGGCTGTAGCATGGAAAGAGATTGCCCATCTGTCTCTTGCTGAGCTGCTGGTGGATTCAGACTGCCTGACTTTTTTGGGTTGACAGCACAATTCATTTCCACGAAGCTACCAGAGCTCTCTGAAATGAGTTTAGTCTATCACTAGTTCCATAACATCATTATTGCTATCTTTAAACAAACAAAACACAAAAAATAAAACAAAAAAGCAAACAAAAAATCCCTCACACTCACATTGCTGTCAAGGAGAACCAACTCAACTGATTTGTCAGCTGGTTTTAAGAGGTTGTAATCAAACTCATTAATTTTAGCTGGTAAGCCCCAAAATTTTTCTACCTACAGTAAACTAAGGAACAATGAAAAAAATTTCATCTAAGCATCATTGGAAAAAAGAATCCATACCTAGAATAATTATTATTATTATTAGGAATTAATTGTTGTTCACTATAAATGAGAACGTAAGCACAAATCCCTCATCACAGATAAGTCAGTAAGCACAAGCAAGTCTATGTTTAGTGGTTCCTCTGACCCCACACTGTTCTTCTGGTTTTGTTCATTTTTTACCTTCACAATATTTCAATACCTCTCTTCTTATTCAAACAGCTCCACCTAGTTCTAGTTCTTAGTGATTTTCATGCAGTGATATCCTGACAGTCTGAATTTTACGCTCTTCAAGCTTGCTGCATACCACTGCTATATTCATGCTTCAGAGTCACATTTATTACCACAGTCAGTGTTCTTCTCCAAAGTATCAAAGATTTTTTTTAAAAAGTTTGCTGCCAATTTCATTAAGATGCACAATTACAAAATGGGCAAAAGACTTGGAAAGATTTTCACAGAGGAAGATACTCAAATGGCAAACAGACCCATGAAGAAATGTTCAAAATCACTGGCAATAAGAGAGATGCAAATCAAAACCACAGTGAGATACCATCTCGCTCCAGTACAAGTGTTTGCAAAGTTTAACAGAGCAACAAGTAATACATGTTTGAGAGGATGTGGCGAGAAAGGAACTCTTATACATTGTTGATGGTATTGTAAAATGGTACACCCACTGTGAAAGGTAGTTTGGTGCTTCCTCAAAACGCTGAACATAGAAATTCCATATGACCCAGCTATTCCACTACCTGGAATATAGCCTAAAAAAATGAGAACCAAGGGACAAATGGAGACTTGTACACCAATGTTCATAGCGGCGTTATTCACCATTGCAAGAAGATGGACACAGCCCAGATGTCCTACCACAACACAATCAAATGGATTAACAAATTTTGTAAATAAACTAGTATAATACTTTTTTAAAAATTAACGAAGACACACACACACACACACACACACACACACACACACAAACAAACACCAAATAAACCCAAAACACATCATGTTCACAAAATAGAACTGTGCTCCTCAAAGTTTTAAACCTCTGACCTGTCAGAGCAGATTACCTGGGCTTTTCCGAGCCATCTCTCAGTAATCAAACACTATGAACTAATTGTGTCACATAACGGATTCAAAGACATAATAATCTTAAAATGTAGCTATTAAATACCACCCAATAACTATCCCTCATAAATGATTCTACATATAGCAGAACAAAACATTGCCTGGCCCTTCACTATCCTCAGTTTCTGCTCTTTTTTAATCCCATTTTGTAGTCACCATGTCAGTAACCTGTCTAAAATCTGTTGCTTGACATTTGTGGTCTTCTACAATCTATACGAATCAAATTCCTTTCACTCATGCTCTCAACTAGTCATCTAGTAGATATTTGAGTTCCTGTTGTGTATCTGATATTGTGCCAATAATGTTACCATGAATCAGACACAGTCTAGTTTTGTTCTTCAAAAAGCCTATTGTCTAATAATAGCCCTTACTTTACTGAAATATAAAAAGAAGGTGTTCTAATGGAGCTTTGTTTGTTTTTGGGGTGTTGTTTTTCCTCTTTTTCCCCCCACAAACCTAGAAAGAGAGATTATCTTCTCCTGTGTGATTTACAGCCTCTCAAAACCCATTGGAAGGACTGCTATGAGTAGTTTCTGACATAAAGACAATGAGTGAGAGTGAGTGAGTCAAAAAATGTTAAAATACTAGTAGATATTTACATCATATTTGCCTGCTTTCTATTACTTATTTTCAGAGGACATAATGAGATTCAAATTACTGGTATACCTAGGAAATTCTATGGATTTAATTCTAGTTCAGCAAATATTGCATTAAAATTAATCACAGGGTTTTTTTTTGTTGTTGTTGTTGTTATTTTCTAGTGCTTGTAAAAGTTTTGTTTTCACTCTACTGAAGTCTGTTATATGTTTAAAAACATTGTGAAAAAGCCAAAAATATTGTGAGGATTCCAACACAGGGACATGAAATGAATGTCTGTTATTGAGAAAACTGCACTGATAGACTCACTTGAATGCAGGATTATCTCAAACCTTACATTAATGAAAAATGCAGTATCTGTGAAAAGCAATAAAATAAGGTATGCCTGTATTTATCAGTGACTCTTGTATTATTTGACTACTTTCCCACATTCAAGGGAGCTCTGGTGGTTTCGGTGGCTTTGTGACAAGGAGTTGCAATCTCAATCTAAAGGCACACAGTTCAAGTCCTCCAGTTGCTCCCCAAGAGAAAGATGGGCAATCTACTCTAATGCAAGTCAATGCCAGTCAGAATCTACTGGAGGATCAGCTACAAGCTGATTCTAACTTTACGATAAACAGAAACAAAACCCTTTTGTTCAAGTAAGCACCTTTTACATTTTATGGTCTTAATTAAAGTCTATATGTTATCCAAATCTAAATATTATTTTTAAAAAAGAGAGAGATTACAAGTATTTTTTTTAAAAAGTATTAACTTACCAGGAAATACAACACTGTCCGTGTTTCTTTGATTCCGGCCAATCAGGACTGTGGTCAGATTCACTGTAGATTTCTTAGATGTATTAAGTTTCTTTAGTCCAGGTTTTACCTGCTTCTGAGGCTTGAGAGCATTTGCAAGACTCCCAGGCAATGATCGATCTATATACCAAGTTAAATTAGATAAGGCTGTTTGAGTTTTTGCTTCAATTACTGATTCCACAAACTCGGATAGACCTTTCTGGAGAAGCTGCATATCTGGCAAAGAAGCCTTTATTCTCTTTGGTATGGTAGTGTTCACTTCTGATATACTTGTAAAAGCATTATGACACATTATTAAAGTTTCATGGAGAGTTTTGTTAAGCAAAGAGAAGCTAATTGAAAGATGGATGGATTTTGCTTCTAATGCTTTAAATCTAGAATTTAACACCTGTAGCTGAAGGATCTGATCTCTCTCATTTGGAACCATATTGCCTTTTTTAAGTGACACAAAAGAAGGTATGAGAGTCTGGGCCATTTTAGACTCAATGCCTTGCAATCGAGTTTCATAATTTCTGGAAATCTTTGTGATTTCAAGTATGCTTTCTTCCAAATGACCCAGCTTTTGCTGGTATTTAATGATTTCAGAAGTGGTTCCATTTAACTTTTGATAATTCTTTTGGAAGTAAGACAGGCTTAGTTTCTCATCTTTCTGAAGTTCACTGAGGGCCTTGGCAACTTGTAAAACAAAGTCATATCTTTCATGGTCATTGACCAAAATATCAATAGAAGCATTCAAACGCTGAAATTGGGGAATAAAGGACAAGATAGTTTGCATCTTTTGGGTGCATTCATGATGAACCTCAGAATTATCCTTTATATCATTTAAAGTGCTTTTTAGCACATAGTTATCATGAATAAAATCGATGGCATTATTTAAAACAGTCATGGTTTTATTTAGACCATCTTCCATTTCTAAGGCATATTCACTAACACGTCTTTCCAAAGTATCATCACGCCTCTGTACTTCATTTCTAAGTGAGCTATGTTTTTTGGTAAGTTCTTTCATAAGAAAATTTAGACTGTTGATAGCCTTCCCCATAATTTCCACCTTTTTCTTTGCTGCTATTACTTCTGCTGGTTGTTCATACGTCGCTGTTTGTCTTAAGGAAGCTCCCTGCTCAAGCAAAGGTTGAAGAATCTCCATATCGTATGTCAGGTCATTTAGTTGTTCACTCATTGTATCCATCCTCTTGTCCATTGGAAAGAGAACCTCAGCCAATGTTTGGTTTAAAACCTGCAAATTCTCTTCTGTGTCCTTAATATGAAACTTAAACTCACTCCTGCACTTGGAAAACATGTCTTCACATTCACCCCGGACTGATGTTTTCTCTAGTTCTAAAGTGATGGTGAGATTGTTTATCTTGCTGTCTTGGGTGCGCAAATCTTCAACCATTTGCAACATCATCAAATCCTGCTTCTGTAGGTGCTTATGCAAAACAGACATGTACTCAGTGACATTATTGCTGACTGACTCTGCAACAGCAGTCTTCTGATTTGATATTTGCTCAGTTGGTACAAGTCTCTCATGAACTTCTGTCATTTTAGAAAGAGTTTTGTTGAGACTTTCATAGTATAGGCTGTTTCTGGAGTGTTCTTGGTCCAGTGCACCTTCTAAATGAGTCTGCTTTGCTTCTAGTTCTTTAATGGGCTTTTCAAATTGAAAAGCCATTTCTTGTCTCACATTCACAATGCGGTTTTTTAGATCCAGGATATCAGTTAGAGTGGGTCTATTTTCTTGCATTAAAGCAGACTTTTGTTGGACTTCTATTAAAACCACGGATTCATTAACTTGCCGAATTAGTTGCTTAGTGCTTTCGAGGTCTTCTGATAAACTAGATACAGTCTTGAAAAGCTGGGCTACAGTCTCCTGCATGTCGTTTTGAAAAATTTTAAATTGTTCTCTTACTATGTTCTTCACCATGTCATTAATACTTTTGGATTTTAGGCCTAGGGAAAGAAGCAACAAGCAACAGTAAATTAATAAGTAAAGTTAATGATCTATTTTTCTATTTACATAAGACTTTAGATATTTCTAAAGGACTAAAAACATTGAGGCTAAGTTCTAAGAATATGTGATAATAAAAAGAATTTTAACTATATTACCTCTGAAAAAAATATGATGGTTGATAGACGGCTATCATCTTCTTAATTACCAAATGTAAATTGGAAAATAAATAGCAATGAGTGAAGAACACTCAAGAATTATAAAACTGAGTTTCTTTTGACAAAATATGTGAAGAAACTATTAGTGATTTAAATTATTGACAAGAAATCTCAATAACTCTTAAGTCTAGGCTTACTATCATATGAAAATAAATCATGGGGGGGTGCTTCTGCCATAGTGAGTAATACTAGGTGTTAGCTCAGGGATGTTTTATTGATTATTACATTTCAAATATTATATTCTGAACTTAACAAGGCAAATAACTTGATTGCTGAGAAGAAAAAAAAATTCACAAAATATTCCAAACAAACAATACAAAGTGATATTCACAAGGTTCAACAGCGGCATGTCAGAACAGTGAATAACATAAAGAGAGGATTGGGGATCACAAACTAAGTCAATCACAAATGAAAACCGAAATTCAAACTGCACTTTATTTATCAAATAGCCCATTAATTCTTAACAAAAAAAGAGAAAAGTTACCACTAGCAAAGCACACACTAGCATCTCTAATGTAAGAAAGTATGGACTAATCACAGCCAAGATTATGGTAAAATTTACAAGTGACAAACAAACAAATGGCAATCTAAGTGATAAAGAATATCACTTTTTCAAAACTCTCTGTGGGGGGAAATTGATGACAACTAGCAACTACTCGAGAATGATTAGATAGGAACCTTTGGGGCCAATTAAAAGCAGAAGGGAGAGTTTTTATACAACTTGAAGAAAGTTATCAATGTCATAGAACCTATAGAAACTATTCGATTGGTGTATGTTCTGCTGTGTATAATCTCTTGGTAACAATATAATAAGTAAAATTTAGAAAAGAAAAAGGATATTACTTTATTTGTAACTATTAAGATAATACTAAAAAATAGAAATAAAATATATACAAAAACAGAAAAAGATAATAGCTATTGTCAAAATACACAGTGTGCAATTATGAACTGCACATAAAAGGTAGGCATGCTTATTTACATAAAAAAATACCCACTATGTCTAAAGTGTAAAACAGAGACAGTATAATAGAAAATATTCTTAACAGAAATGTCTGCACAGTCGAGTATTGCTAAATAAGCTATGGGTAGTAGCCCATTCAAAGAAAATCATTAGATGATAGAGGATGGATTCTACAAGTTTCTAGTTTGAAAGTAAATTTTTAAAAGTATTTAATGTAAATAAGGTGTGCCTGAATTCCAGCTCAACAGTGACAACACCACCATTTAGATCTCTCTCTGAAAGGTAGAGTCATGCCCCCAGTCCTTAAATCATGTTAAAACCCCATTTGCCCCAACCTGTGATGAAGTTAATGTATGGGGCAAAAGAGATCATGCAAAGGTGATTAAAGTGAGTAATTTTCAGATGAGACTTCTAAACTATCTGCTTGAGCCTGATTTAATGACAAGATTCCTTAAAAGTAGAACAGAAGAAATTTGAGAAAGAGGAGTTCTTTATTGACTCAAGCTGTTGCTGGTTTGAAGATGGAGGAAAAGGGCCACAGTAAAAGATGTGGTGGACTCCAGAAGCCTGAAGGACATTTGCCAGCAAGAAAGCAGGGCCTGCTTCCAACAACTACGAGAAACTGAACTCCATCAAAAGGATGAGTTAGAAAAAACTGATTCTCCTCTATGTTGTCAGAATAAAATGCAACTACTACATTTTGGTTTTAGCCTGGGTAAAACCTGCCTTGGACTTCTGATTTATAAAAGTGAAGGGTAATAAGCTGTGGTGTTTCAAAGCACAAAATTCTGGTAATGTCTATTGACAATTATTAATACATTATTATTTTTGTTTGGTATTTTAATTATATATTTTACCAATTATACACTTTGATTTAGGCAAATCCTGTAATATAAACATGCACCTACCTAGGTGCCATGCAAATTCAAGGTGAACTCTACTCCCAGTTTTGAACTAGATAGCACTGTGGAAGTAAACTGTGTTAAGCTCTTATTAATTGTAAATAATTATAACTTAGACTACAACTAGATGTATTGATAAATCAAATGAAAAATTCCATCAAAACCTTCACTATAGAGTATAATATATCTGGAGCTATCACAATATTTGGGAAATAAGCTAAATTTTAAGCACTTGATTAAAATACATGGCTCAGGCTTCCTTACTATCTGACCCAAAGAAACGATTCTTAAGAGATGCGAGAAAAGATAATTGAGTCATTTGCCTTTTGCCTTAAAGGAATGAATTATTTACTTTTACCTTTTAGGAAAGATTGAAATTCCTTACTTTTATCTTCATTGATTTTGCTTTCTAAAGAAGAGTATGTGTTTTTTACATTATTCACTGCCAAAGAAATATTATCAATCTTCTTCTGCAGCAAAGTCAGCTTTGTTGCCTGGTGGGTCATCTGCTCAGTCAATTTTTGCATTACAGCTGCATGTAGGAAGGGAGAAAATCAGACTTTATTTTCAAAGCATTACATTTTTTTTAATTTCTTTCCAAGTAATTCTAATAAACTATGTTACCCTAAAATATTTGAGAATATTGACTATCATCACTTCTCTCTCTAATTGCCATTGAGTCAGAACTGTTCATAGCTGAACCTATATCGGGTTTTCCAAGGAAATTCCAAGGAAGGAGATTGCTCATGTGGTTTCTAACCACCTGTCTTTAGCTTGACAGTCCAACTCCCTATCCCTAGGCCACTACATGCTGGTGTTGTGTACCACCAAGTGGGAAATAAATCATAACTGACCCTCCAGTGGGTTTTCAGAGGTAATAAATCACACAGAAGATTATCCACCTTTCTCTCACAGAGCAGCTGAGGATCCAAACTGTGTGACTTTGGATTTATAGTGCAGCTTCTTATCACTAGACCACCAGGGCTCCTTACTAGGCCTTCAGAGATCCTTGTATTTACCTAGCACAATAACATATTTGAAAATACAGATTATATTTGCTTTATGTTAGAGTTAATGGTGAAAATGTGTAGAGAGTATTATAGAATCTTGTAAATGACAGATTTCTAAAATGCTTCAACTTTGCCCAACATTTTCATACACTGTTTTTCTCTCAAAACCTTAGAAGCAGAATTATCGTTAGACTCTCACAACAGTTGATGAGTAAAAAATGCCTAGGTAACTTGCTTGAGGTTGCAGAGCTAATGTCTCATTTTCTGCATTCAAATACAATGGTGAAACATTAAATATATATGAATGTCATTGCATGCATGAGATTCAGATTTAGAATTTTATTTTAATGGCTTTATGTGGGTTTAACATTCTCTATCTCCTTATACATGCAATTCAATAATCCAAAGGGTTTTTAAATACTATTTTACAAAGATACTCAATTCCTTAAAACAAACAAAAAATTTGAGAACATATGTGCTAAGCCAAGGCATATGCACATATATTGAAAGCAATGCCCTTAAGAGATATTTCTTAACGAAGTATCTTATATTGCTGTTTTTAACACAGTCAAGTAGTGTGTTTAACAGTAATCAATTTTAGACTTCTAAAGGCAAAAATCGAGCTTAAAATGAGAAGGACATCATGCTTGAAAGGGTGGATGGACAGTGCAGGGGAAGAAGACCCCAGATTGATACAGTAACTGGGGCAATGGGGGTTTGTGTGTCAGAGTTAGTGAGACTGGCTCAAGACAGGGAAGGGTTCAGAGCTGTTATACATAGGGTCACTATATATCGCAGGTGACTCAATGACACATAACAACAATAACATACTATGACAGGTTTGGAAGCAGGAATAGCTTCTACTTCCTAAATAACTTGCCTCAGGAAACCATGAATTTTGATAAATGTTGATAGTTGTAGAGGAGCTTTAGGTCTTTTTGTTCATAGGGTTGCTATGAGTCATACTGGAAGACAATCGACAATATGGTGAAGAGTTGCATTACCATCTAAAAAGTAGGAATTTTACATCCATTTGCTCTATGGGAGAAAAACAGGCAAACTTCTGTGTAATTTATAGCCTGGGAAAACCTCATGATGGTTCAGCTATAAGTAAGTTCATTCTCAACAAAAATAAATTTTTCTAAAGAGGAGAAATATGACATGGCAATTTAAGATTAACACACATATCGTATGGCTTATTAATCACAATTATTTCCCCCACTATTCAGTGCCCCTTTATTATCTCATACCTTAAGCTGAAAGGGGCCTCTCTTAGGTTCATTAATGAGATCAAGTTCTTTATATATCAAGATTCTTCAATCACTTTTCTCTATAGACAACAGAATTTTTATTTTATGGCAGAAACCTGTAATTTCTTTACAATCTAGTAGCAAGCACTTTGGTGTGTTGTGTTTCTTTTCTGTATTTGCACACAGAGCTTCAATAATTATAAATGGTCCTTTCATCTAGCACCAATATAAAAGAGTTCGAGAGGTATGTTAATATGTTGCCACAAAATCTTTGACAGCCTAGAGTGTTCTTGTTTGAAAGTTGTAATAAATAGTGCTGACAATAATTGGGTGAGAGATGATAGTAATTACAATGCATGACCTGGGTCACCACAGTCTTCTTGCTGCTGCAGAGTGGCAGTCCTGTTGCCAACAGCTGTGTGACTCTCAGCCTGGTTGCTGTGTATCAGTTGCTGTTGTTCCTGGACTAGAGAGAAGAAAGTGAGAATTACACATCTGGCCTGCCTCATTTTTTCAATTCTGAGTAATCATGGGGCCCACATTTGTTTTCTCCAGTACTGAAGGTCTGTAATGATTGCAGCATAAGTTGCTCCGCCCCCTCTCACAGGGAGGTGAGATGACATGTTGGAATCTGAAGTGCAGGACTCTAATTCCGTTTGGGGCAGGGGGAAGAATTACACAGGTTTCTTTTAAGCAAAAATGAATGGTAGCTCCGGGATGCGTGTAAATGTGCCGACATAAACCGCCTGTATAATTGAGACTTGAAAGTCAGCTGTGTTAAAAGATAGAGCAGCTTTAGAGACGGGCTGCCACAAAAGCTGCCTGTTCAGCATTGTTCAACTAGTGTCGACCTGGAAATAAGCAGATGGGACAGAGTCTTGCTAAAGGCATGTCTCCTGAAGTAATAAACTGAATCCACTGCCAAGAAGTACATTCTGACTCATGGCTGTGAATTATTGAGTTGGTGTCTCCAGTGTAGCGGCTGGTGGATTCCCTTTCTGCTAGCAGCTACGATGCCACCATGGCTCCTTATTTAATTAACAGTACCATTTACATTTGAGCAAGAGCCTATGGTGATGAAGGAAGAGGTTCAAGCTGCTTTGATGGGAATAGCAAAAAATAAGGCTCCAGGAATAGATGGTATACCAATTGACATATTTCAGCTAACAGATGCTGCCCTGCATGTGCTCACCAAACTGTGCCAAGAAATCTGGAGAACAACCACTTGGCCAACTGACTGGAAGAGATCTATATTTGTTCCCATTCCAAAGAAGGGTGACCCAACTGTGAGCGGAAACTCCAGAATAATATCATTGATTTCACATGCAAGCAAGATTCTACTGAAGATTATCCAAAAACGACTGGAAAAGCACATCAGCAGAGAACTGCCAGAAGTCCAAGCTGGGTTTAGAAGGGGTCGTGGTACTAGGGATATTGTAGCTGATGTTAGATGGATCTTAGCTGAAAGCAGGGAATACCAGAGGAATGTCTATCTGTGTCTCATTGATTATGCAAAGGCATTTAACTGTATGGATCATAACATACTGTGGCTGACTTTGAGAAGAAAGGGAATCCCAGAACATTTAATCGTGCTAATGAGAAACCTATACTTGGACCAAGAGGCAGTCATCAGAACAGAATAGAGTAACACCGCATGGTTCAAAATTGGGAAGTGTGTATGCCAGGGATGTGTCCTGTCTCCATACCTTTTCAACCTGTATGCAGAGCAGATTATCCGAGAGGCTGGGCTCTATGAGGAGAAGTGTGGCGTCAGAATTTGTGGAAGATCTATTAACAATCTGTGTTATGCAGATGACACAACCCTACTTGCTGAAACTGAGGAGGACCTCATGCACTTGCTGCAGAGGGTCAAGCACTGCAGCCTTCAGTATGGACTGAGGCTCAATGTCAAGAAGACAAAGATTCTCACCACTGGACCAATTGGTAGCATCAGGATGGATGGTGAAGAGATTGAGATTGTTCACAGTTTCAATTTGCTCGGCTCCATGGTCCGCACTCTTGCCACCAGCAGCCAGGAAATCAAAAAACGTATTGCGATGGGAAAGTCTGCTGTTAGGGACCTCTCTAAAGTACTCAAGAGCAACGGTGTCTCTCTGGAGACTAAGGTGCATCTGATACAGGCCATGGTCTTTGCAATCACTTGTTATGCATCAGAGAGTTGGACAATGACTAGGGAGGATGAAAGGAGAATTGGCGCCTTTGAGCTGTGGTGCTGGAGATGAGTATTGAATGTACCCTGGACTGCCAAGAAAACAAACAGATTCACCCTGGAGAGGGTTAAACCAGTCTACTCCTTGGAGGCAAGGATTCTGGGCCTTCGTCTGACATACTTTGGACTTGTAAGGAGAGACAGGTCCTTGGAGAGGGACATCATGCTTGGTAAGGTGGAGGGACAGCACAGGAGGGGAAGACCCTCTATGAGGCGGATTGATTCAGTGACTGGGGTAATCTGAATGGGTGTGTCAGAGGCCATGTGATTGGCACAGGATAGAGCAGGGTTTAGGGCTCTTGTATATAGGGTTGCTATGAGTCACAAACGACTTGACGGCACATAACAATAACAGCAACCATTTATATATGTTTACCCATGGTGGACCGTGTTTGGTAGAGTTCCCGGATTAGAATGGGCTTGGAAGCCAGATTGGCATCCCCTTCCTAAACAACATGCCTTTGAATACTAGAGAAACGATGATTGTTAGAGAACAGGGTTCAGGTCTTTTGTTCAGAGGGTCCGCTATGAGTCATTGACAACATTTAACAATAATACCAACCATTTACAAAGTAGTCACAAAATACTGAAAATAACAGCCTCAGAAATCCCACAGAAAGTCTTCACGAGTCTGAATGGGTTGAAGGCAGTAAGTTTCGTTTTGTTTGTTTTTCTTGAATAATTGCTTACCAACCAAATAATATTCTAAATGTAAATATATTTTTAAATGGGCAAAATAGTTTGTCAAGAAGATCAATTAAAATATTGAACATAACAAGTAATGTATGTCTGTAATTTACATGTAATGAATAGATTTATTTACTGAAGTCCATGCACTGGACATGAGAAAGCAAGTGTTTGATGTGTGACTCTGCTTCTTCCCATGTGAGATCACGTACCAATGAAACTGCAGCTCTGACACAGGTTAATTATGCTCCCTGAGGCATATGTGACTGTGACAATAATACTAAAACATTTCCAATCCATGGGAAGCTTAATATCTTGGGCACTAATTTGGGTTACTCTCTATAGTTAGATTGAATTTTACGTTGCTTTTCTATGGGGCATTGAACTAAATTAATGAATTTCTATTCCTCTCCAAGGTTTTTTATTTTGATTGTGTTTAGTTTTTTCCCCTCCTCTGTATTATAGAAAGTCCTTTGTAATTGTTGGTTCATTTAGTGGAAGAAACCTACCTGGAGTTTGGAAAGAGAAAAAGTATTAATCTCTGCAAAGTCCAAGTAAAAAGGCTTTTATAACCTAAATTCAAATTTGTTTCTACGAAGATGTGTGTTAAATATTGTGTAAATTTTCCATTAAGTTTCTACTCAGAAAGTGTAACAAAGAATTTGCTGGCAGTTTAAGCTTATCCAATAAGATAACTAGAGAGTAAAGCTTTCAATAACACAGTGTAGTGAAGTTAGAACTGATTCATCGCTAACCCGTCCAGTGGGTTTATAGAGGCTACAAATTACAGTGGAGGAGACTGCTCATCATTCTCTTCTAAAGCAGCTGGTTGATTACAACTTCTCTCCTTTTAATTAGCAGCACAACTTCCTACCCACAAGGCCACCAGAACTCCCTAGAGAGTAAAGAAGTGATTCTCAAACTTTAGTCCTAAACCAGCAGTAAAAGCATCATTAAAAACTTTCAGAAATGCAATTTTCAGGGCCTCATCTCATCTCATTACTAATTCCAGACACTCTAGGGGTAAGGGCAGCAATCCCTGGTTCAGCGAGGCCTCCAGGAGTTTCTAATTCACCTAAAGGTTTAACAGTCACTGAGGTCAAGTGTTAAAGCACCCTGAGGACACAATGAATTAAGCATTGCAAAGGAAAATCTTCATGAGGTTCAGGCAGCAAATTAACTGAAGTAAATGAAAAAAAGTAAGAAAAAAAGTAGATTTATAATATTGTGAATTATATAGTGATTTATATGTTGTCGTAGTTGTTGTTGTTGTTGTTGTTGTTGATTGCCTTCGAGTTGAGCACGACTCGTATCGACCCTATGAACAAAAGCCTGAAGCCCCTCCACAACTATCGACACTTACAAAGTTCATAGCTTCCAGAGGCATGTTGTTTAGGAAGTAGATGCCTCTCCTGCTTTATAAATGAATTGACGCTATTAAATTTGTTGCTGTGTGAGAGGTTATTATAAGGTACAATACTACTGATTGCATACTTGGTATAGAATCAAATTTGATGTTGAATTATGATAATCTTTCACATTAAGAAAGACTGACAAAACAGGGGACCTTTCTGTCACACACAAGGAGGAAGATGGGTTGCAGCTTAAGACCTTTAGAATTTTCTTTGAGCAGGAATTTTGTCTGTGTCAGGCAAGATCCTAAATGCGTAAGAAGTAAAAGAAACGAGGAGCAGGAATTAAAGTCTTAAGAATAGAGGCAAATTAAGAGCACTTAATCCCATTTATTTTCTATTGGTCTAAGAAGCTGCACTGCCAATGCAAATTCACATGGTTTGAAACTACCAGAAAGTTTTGAGTCTGTATGACTTCACAATTGTTGTTGTTAGGTGCCACTGAGTCGTGTACAGTTTGGTAACCCTACAAACAACAGATCTGAACCCTGTCCTATCCTGTGACATCTTCTCACTTCCTGACACACATTCATGATACATAACAATAAGGATCAACCAATTCTTAGATAAATAATACTCATATTATTTAGAAACAAACTGCATTATAAACAAGAGAATAAAAAGTGATGTGCTGCAAAAATCCAGTAGAATAGAAACCAAAACTGCAAGTATAAGAAGCACTAAAATTGGAGGCAAAGGGGAGAGATGAGGAAATGACTGGAGCTGTCAGAAGGTGAAGGAGGAGAAATGAAAGTGGAACACTGAAAAGTTGGAAGAGTCTAATGAAATCCTGATTTTCTGATACAGCATGAACTTGGCTGCTCCACTGCTCATCATGTGAAAACAGGAGACATTTGAAATAGAGACTTAAATTTTGTCCACATTTTTTATTTTTTAAAAATATTGATTTGGAAGAAATTGCCATGTGAAGTATAATAATACTGAATGAAAAAAGCAAAGATAATTGTATATGAGTTTGAATATAGATGGACAAAGCTTCCCCTTTGTTCTGAACTACAGTTATTTTTAAATTGACTGATTTTGAGGAATGAAGTGAGGTCTCTTTACTCCTGAATAAAAAAGACAGCAATTGAACAGCACACAAAGGTCCTTGAAAGCTCAATGTCACATGGACCT